ATGAAGTTCTAACTGCCTGCAGCAGTCAACATAGGGAGGTGCTATAACTGCACTGAAATTTTAGAAGTCACATCAAATGCAGCATTAAATGACAGGAGGCATAGCCTGATCACAAAGCTGAAGGTGAGCTTCATATTCACAAACGTATTGATATAAAAGACAGGAGCTTTGTTTTTCACAACAGAAAAAAACCTTTTGATCAACATTCACTATTAAATACTAAACTACTAATTAAAATGTGCTTAATTAACAAAATACATAAAATTAAAACTTCAGAAGCAGATCTCAATATCTGCATCTAAAACAACATAGCAACATGCCTTTAATTTAGAATACAAGGTCTACCTATCTGTGTTGTGCTTTCCAAATCATCAGTGGTTCATGTTTTAGCCTATTTCTGGTAGTGGAGCAGAGATACAATTGTAGTAAGAGTTGCTAAAATTTCATTCAAGTATTTAAGTGATATTCAAATTAAAATACCATGTGACTGGAGACTAATTCATTCTTAATAAGGTATTTTACCTTATTTTAAAGTATCCACTGTATCACTTACAGTACACTCTTTCTCTCAGATTTGTAATGCGAATTATTTAAAAGAACAATGCATCTGGAAAGCTAAGTCCTATCCATAAACTGTGAAACAAAGTGATACTTTTTTCCCAGCAAATTATCCAGCCGACATATTAAAAGAAAAATTCGAAATTATACACCTTCCCAGCCAAATTGATGCATTTCCCAACCTCTGCAAGGAACTTCCTTCTTGTGTCCAGATGTATTTCAAGTCCATTAACTTCTCTTTCCTCACTCATATTAGTCATGATTTATTTGGCAGCAGTAGATCCCTTGCACTCTCTCTCTCTTTCTCTCTCCCTCCCTCCCCATTTATAAGTGTGTGTCTATCTATCCACATGCTCTTCGCAACAATTTGTGCAAAGCTGTAATAAGTAGATAAAAGTACCAAATAAAAGCTACACAAATCATTAAATAAAAAGTCATTGATGCCTAGCAAACACCAATGTTTTGTGACTCATGAACCAGAGCATCACCCATCAGGGTAGCCATCGCCCTAAGTCCGCAATATGGATTCAGCGCTGCAGAAGATAGGGTGACTTGGAAGTCTCTTCTTCATAGGTCTATTTAAGGGACACATCCATTGAAATGTATTCCCCATGGCAGTCATCCAGAGGCAGGTTTTTAAATCTGACCTTGAAGTTGGGACTGACTCATTTAAGTTCTATCAAGTTCTCTTTCTCAAATTTAAGTTTACCAAAACCCTTTAAACCTCTCTTGTCCTGGTCCAAAGCCCTTTACAATGCATCATGAATTTTCAACTTTATCACATCAGTTGTATTACTTTTCCATTTAATTATTTATACCTTAATGTCCAAACCTTTGGAAACAAGATTGCTAACACTGAAGATTAAACCCATGACTTCTCCTTGATAAACTGAAAGTGAAGTTTAATTCTGTTGTATGTGTTTGCCAATTAAAAGCAGGACATTGCAGAGTGGTCTTAGTGTGCTTTCATGGCACTCCATCTTCTTTCCTTTCTCTCCTCTTTTTCCCTCCTTCAATTATCTATTAGAAGATTATGTGCTCCCGCAATATTCTAAGTGCTATTCCTATGTGGGCTTGTTGTGTAAGGCAGGGCCTTTTTCGGCTAAATGATTTGCATCAATGCCTAAATTTGCTTATATCTCCTTCATTTATATGGATGTTGCCAATCTGAAGTTTCCCAGTTCTTTTACTTGGAAATGAATTAGGGTGAATATTATTTCCCTCCCTACTTTATTTATAAATTTAAAGTTATGAACAAAATATCTATAGCTCTATTATGTTCAGTTTAGAATAAGTTAAATAATAGCTTTTCTGAAAATCATTTCCATGGAAGCTTTCTTTCTAACCAAATGAGAGAACAAATAGACTATTGAAAGGATTCAACAGCTGCTAGTTTCAAGGTTCTCTGACACACTTGATATTATACACCAAGTACACATCAAAGTAATATACAACTTTAAAAGGCAGTATTAAGCCTGAACAACCATCCTGATGACTCCATGCCCTGTTTTTAATATTAGAATTCCATTTCAATACTTATCTGATACCATATTTTACTGTTACTGAAATGGCGTATTCAAAGTAGTTCTAGAAAATTAATGTGCCCCCGCATGATGTTATCGATGCAAAATCAATATTTCAAGAATTATAGTCTTCACACACAGCCATACTATAACTGCTACTAGCTGCCCTGAAAGCCATTAAGGTGTTTAGAAAATTGAACCTTGAACAGTAAATCACTGTTATTACATCACTTATATTGCTGGGAAGACTTCTACGTGCAGCCTTGAGTGTGTGTGCATGTATACATGAATATGACTGTTCATATTGTTTTATAGAAAAATAGCAAGTGGTTTTAAACAGGATATTTGTTGCAACACTCACATTACTTACTGAAGTTTTTAATTCTTTAAACATTTTCTCCTTCAATATTATAAAAATGTATTGATGACTGAAAAATCTTAATTTATAGATAGTAAAATATTGAAAAAGTTATTTGTTTGCTTTTTTGAGATTAATTACAGAAATACATCAGAGATTTGTACTTTTTATGCATAGAGAAGTAGAGTTGGAAGGATCAAACTTCTCACTCAGAGAGATTTTTGAGGACGCATCTATACTGCAGATTTAATTCAGTTTGACACCCGTTTAACTGCTATGGCTCAATTCTATGGAATAATAGAAGTTGTAGCTCGGTGACGCACCCTTACTACTTGGAAGAGAAGGCTAAAGACGCCATAAAACTACAGAGTTCATTATTCCATAGCACTGAGTCAAAGCAGTTAAAATGGTGTTTAACCACATTAATTGTACAATAAAAATTAAATTAAAATTATCTGCTAAGGAGATTGAGGAGAAAAATCCTTGCAAGAATATAATAGTTAGAAATTTAAACCCTGAATTAGCCAAAAGCAAAATTCATCAAACTTTCACCAAACAACTAAATTAATCCGCATATTAACTGTCTGTGTCCAGCCTTTCAGTTAAACATGAATAATGTACACTTCAACAAGTCCCAAGTAGCAAGTAGTTCCTGATTACTCAAGTGAAAAATTACAGCAACAGAGGTCTCATAGGTAATTGGAAGAGGACTATTAATTCCAAATATGGCAGTCCCAGAGTATAAACTTTCAAGGCCTATCTAGGCATGCCTTCTGCAACTGATGAGACTGTTCATAATTTTAGGATTCACTACTTAATGCACATTCCTAATAGTGTTTTATGGGAATCGTATCTGTTCAGATAACTATGTTTCAGATCAATTCAGACTGTTGCCATCTCTGCACAATGAATGAGGCTGGGTATAATATGGCAAACAAGTCTGAGGCCAATGCCCAGTGGTGTAATTCTGCTGGTGCAAATAATGTTGATAACAATTTTCATTCTGCATTGTGTGCTAAGGGGGTATCCAACATGTTGTCTAGCTGCACAACTGGTTGCAGAGCTGTAAAAGTCAACAGAATTAGGCTAGCACACTGTTTTTCTCCATCAACATTATACTGCATGTAAGACAGATGCTCACTCCTGATACTACTATGCATAGGAAAGAAAAATTAGAAGGGCAATCCAAACACAAATTTCTTGAAACAAATAAGAAAATATCTCACTCTCACATGCAGGCAAGATTTTATTAACCACTTCTTTAATGTTGCTAGGGCATGCAAACAACACTAGTGAGAAACTTGATTTCTCACTCAACATGACAATCATGATTTTTTTTTTGTAAAACACCTGCACTTTAATTATATTTGGCAGCCAAAGCACAAATGCATTAATAGTTTTTTTCTTCACATTTTCAAACTTTGTATGGACTTGATGCACAAATTCTCCACACTATCTGTGTCATGTTACACCCTATTCCAGATGCTGGCTCCGCATGGAATTTCAATTGTAAAGAATGAAAATGTCCATTACACAGAGAATTCAATACAGAAAGGCTCCAAATGGGCCTATTGTCTAATTCAGGGGTGTGAATCTGAAGACTCCCAAAAGGTTTTTGCCCACAGTCTTTGCCACGTAGCTAATTAGACAAATATCTACAGTTGCCTGTGAACAATGTCATTTCTAATTGATGTTTACTATTTGGCACATATGGATTAGGTGGAGCCAGCCTTCTATGATGTGATGAGTCAAAACACTATATTTTCAAAGGTGTGATGGAGTTTGTATGTATCCCATGTGAATACACTATACATCCAGTCCTTAAAAATGTGTGTGTGTGTGTGATAACATGGCAATATGAAGTGGAAAACTGAAGCCCTGCTCTGTGTACATGAAGGATGATCATCAATACAGAAGCACACTCAATGTTCGGTAAACTCCCACTTCTAAAACAGCATGGGAGATACAGATAGGGCTGGAGAGTTAATAAGGAATCAATGAAGATTGTCATCTTTCCCTCTCTTTTTTCCAGCAGAAAGCTTCCACTAAATTGTGACAAAATTCATATTGTTTATGTTCATCACAACCTGATACACTTGCCTAAGCCTTTTCAAATTGGCAAGCAGAACAATAAACTACATTCACAACTTGCTTATATGTTACTAACTCTATGTCTCAGAGATTTCCCAATACAACGGAAGTAGACCATACTGGGTGAAACTCTTTGGTATCATTTAAGCAGAGAAAATCAGAGAAATTATACTTGTGGGTTTTTTTCATCTGCACAAACACTATTCTTCTTCTACAAATTAATTCAGAATGCAAACATCTTTCTTAATCAAATAATTAAGATGTGCCCTTATTTTTTTTTACTCAATGTCTGAAGTAGCAGTAAGATTTAGAAAGCATATTTAAAAAGTCAATCCACACATAGGTTGAAGGAATACTACAAATTACTCGCAGAGGCAAAACTATCATAAATACGGCAGTGTTTAATTTGTGATGGACAAAAAAGTCAACTCAATACAATATATATCAAAAACTATCTATGCTGTACTAACCTGTATTTTGATTGGCCATGAAAAGTTGCTGACATATACATAGAAAGTGATATTTGGGTTGCTTCTGAAGTTGAACTTTTCACAGGAAAAACTATCTCTGTATTCCTTGATATTAGCCCTTGAAATCACAGGGACCTCTTCTCCAGATATTGTTCCAGCTATAAAAAATACATAAAATAAATGGAAGTTAGGACAATTTTTAGAATTCATTTTATCTTGCATCTCACTCATTCAATGATACAGGGTGTGGAGCAATATCAAATTAATAAACATAAAGGTGTACATAATTCTACTCAAAACTGCAGAGTGAAACAAATTCAAATATTACAGAGCTATACAATTTCATCTGATTCATCTGTTTAATTTAAGAAAATATTGCTTCAAAATTGGATAAATACTGAGGAAAAAAGAACCTGACATTATTTTAACCAAATTTCCTCTGTATGTTGTTTGAACAGAGCACACAGATCAAATAATAATAATAATAATAATAATAATAATAATAATAATACTTTATTTATATACCGCTCTGTTTCCCTGGGGGGACTCAGGGCAGTTTCCAAGCAGCAACATCAAAACATACAGAGTCACAACATGAACAAAAAATAACAGTAACAGCAACATAAGCGACCAGCCACTGCCAGAAGGGACAGAGAGTTTCATCTACGCTGATGATTGCCATTACTGCTCAAGCAGGGAGCTTTGAGATGGTTGAACAGAAGCTCTCTGAAGCTCTAGGTGCTCTTACTGCCTATTACAGGGAAAACCAACTGATCCCCAACCCATCCTAAAACACAGACATGTGCCTTTCATCTCAAGAACAGACAAGCATCCCGAGCTCTGAAGATCACCTGGGAAGGAATCCCACTGGAGCATTGCAGCGCACCCAAATACCTGGGAGTCACTCTGGACCGTGCTCTTACCTACAAGAAGCACTGCCTGAACATCAAGCAAAAAGTGGGTGATAGAAACAATATCATACGAAAGCTGACTGGCACAACCTGGGGATCACAACCAGATACAGTGAAGACATCTGCCCTTGCGCTGTGCTACTCTGCTGCTGAGTATGCATGCCCAGTGTGGAACACATCTCACCACACTAAAACAGTGGATGTGGCTCTTAATGAGACATGCCGCATTATCACAGGGTGCCTGCGCCCTACACCACTGGAAAAATTACACTGTCTAGCCGGTATTGCACCACCTGACATCCGCCGGGAAGTAGCAGCCAATAGTGAAAGGACCAAGGCAGAGACATCTCCAGCTCATCCCCTGTTTGGGTATCAGCCAGCACGTCAACGACTTAAATCTAGAAATTGTTTTCTAAGATCTACAGAGACACTCACTGGAACACCTCAGCAAGCGAGAGTCCAAAAGTGGCAGGCCCAAACCCAGAACCTCAACCAATGGCTGATACCAAATGAGAGACTCCCCCTGGGCACACAGAGGACTGGGCGACTTGGAAGGCACTGAACAGACTGCGCTCTGGCACCACGAGATGCAGAGCCAACCTTCAGAAATGGGGCTACAAAGTGGAATCCGCGACATGCGAGTGTGGAGAGGAGCAAACCACTGACCACCTGCTGCAATGCAACCTGAGCCCTGCCACATGCACAATGGAGGACCTTCTTGCAGCAACACCAGAGGCACTCCAAGTGGCCAGATACTGGTCAAAGGACATTTAATCAACTACCAAACTCACAAATTTGTATTTTGTCTGTTTGTTTTGTTAGAAATGTAATATAATTTGACTGGTTGTTCTGACACGACAAATAAATAAAGCAACATAAGCATGGAATTACCCAACAACACATCAGTATTAAGATGTATATATACTGCCTGCTCTTCATGTCTGTTTGTTAGGGCATGGAAAAGGAATGGGTCAGGACAATTAAAAAGTCTGGGTCAAGACTGATACAAATTAAAATAACATGGGACTGGCATTTGGGTACAGTATTGTAATAGGTAAACAACAAAAGTTGGGACGGGCTATAAATAAACACTATAAAGATAAAGGTTTCCCCTTGACATTAAGACTAATTGAGTCCAACTGTGGGGGATAGTGCTCATCTCCATTTCTAAGCCGAAGAGCCAGCATTGTCCGTAGACACCTCCTAGGTCATCTGGCCGGCATGACTGCATGGGTGCAATTACCTTTTCGTCAAAGCAGTACCTATTGTTCTATTAACAATTGTATGTTTTTGAACTGCTAGGTTGGCAGAAGCTGGGGCTAACAATGGGAGCTCACCCCATCCCACGGATTCGAACCCCCACCGTCTGGTCAGTAAGTTCTGCAGATTAGCGGTTTAACTCGCTGTGCCACTACGGCCACCAATAAATAATATAGTGACTTGGAAAACCTTTAATATGGTTATGGAAGCAGAAAATAAGTCTAAAATAATAATCTAAAATACATTTAAATATGAAAGAATAGAAATAAATAGAATCTAAAAATAAGCAGTTATGTTTTAGAAAGCAATATAAATATAAAACATGAATTTATAAATATATCCCTATTGTATATCTATCCCAATGAGTGCTTTCTCAGAACGTAGCTGATTCATACACACAGAAACATCCATGCTGAGTTTATAGAAACTTCATCCCACTTAACTACATAACCAACATATTTTTTTCACAAGTAATTTATATACAAATTGCGTAAGTTATTCAAGTGTGGAGGAATATAGTTTTCTAGATGATAAAATATTGTCTTATTATCTCAACTATTCTTAGGAAGGTTAATATCAAGTCAGATAAACAAGTCTAATTTGCAAGACATGAAACTTTTCTGCAATTCTGTTTGATCTTTCTCTATTTCTAAATTACAGAAGTGAAACAAAAGCCTGCGATATATACAAAAGAAAAAGAATGGGTATACTTAATTTTAAGAATCACACAGAATATCAGAAAAACTATTATTAGGTTGGCAACAGGCATTTAATAGTAATATTGGTATTGTGTTGATTTAAACGCTGGAATGTAAGTTGCAGAGGAGAGAGAGAGTGTGGTCTGCTAATTTCCCTCAGGAAATCCATTATGATTGTGGGTGGCACGAGGGACTGGAGAGAAAAGCAGAAAGTTGGATGAATTAAATTATTTCAATACAACATGCTTGTTCCTTCTTGCAATCACCCATTCAACTTCAGTACTGGAAAAAATAGCATCAAGAAGTCACATATTTATTCAATGGACAAGCACTTACTTCTAAATGTAAGTATACATTCTATAACAATGTAGGAAGTATATGCTTGAAAATTTGGAGCAGAAAACTCATTCTCTTTCACTGTTGCAGAACAAATATTGTAATTTATCTGCTTTGTGTTTCTGACATAAGAAGATTCATAACCTGACACTTCAAGGCACTCAGTGCAACAATGCAATTGTCTATGTTACCTATTATACTAAAGAATACATAGAACTTCAAGTTCTATGTACTGTTAAAATGAATTGCTTTGAGGGCTCTTCACACACATAGATGGCAAAATTTCCACCAAAAATTTGCAGAAGAGGATGGTGGCTGTAAAACAGAATGGCATATGCCCTTTGGAACCACATCTGATTGTAAATCATTGATGTGTATCCAACATATCAACAAATGCACATTTGTCCTTCAACTATTGTGATGTTCACCATATTTAAATATAGCTTGACACTTAGAAAAACAGATATATTGCACAAAGTGTGATTTGCCTGTCGCTCTTAACCATTCTGCATAATTGATTAAAATGCAGTCAATGGTATTCTCCTTGGATACATTCTTAGAAAGTCAACAGAACCAATTCAAAGAAACTTTCTAAACAAAGCATTTTATTAAATCCAATACGGAAACTGGGTTCACAAGTGGGGGTGGGTGGTTGGGGGGGGGGGAGAGGAAGATAAGCAGGTTCTTTTATCAGCACACACAGAAGGATTTTATTGTTTGATATCAATGTTAAGGTTAATAATTAAATTCCTAGCCTGAACATTGAAACAAAGAAATTAAAAACTCGGTCTCTGCAGAAGCTAAGACAGTAATTTATCTTAATTAAAATCACTGCGTTCATAACTCTGCCATTCTAAAAATTTAAAGTGCATACAAGGTTTTGCAACCCAAGTAATTTTAATTGAATAGGGAAGAAAGTTAACATATTAATGAACCTTTATTCAGATTCCAAATTATCTGAGTTTTAAGTAATATCATTAATAATAATATAATGAGAATGGGAAAAGAATATATTTTATTATGCTTTACTAATAAGAAACAAAAGGCAATCATGTAACTATAATTTGAATATAACTATTTCAGATAATACAGAAAAGAAGGGAAATTCAGACTTTCTTACCTGTAGAGCCAATGGACCAAGTGATATTCAGGTTAAAGTTATTTGATGCATTAATTGATATGTCCAAATTCTTGTTTGACTGAAATTTTCAAAAGAAAAATATAAATATTAAATAAGTATATTGCTTAGGGGAATAACAAAAGATCAGTCATCCAAATACCCTTCCTTAACTTAAAGACATTGGGCATTATCAGTAACAATTAATGTCTCTATGAACTTCCATAACTTGCTTGCCAATGATAGTGGTTGAAGTATTTTATCTATATTTGTTTTAAAGTTAGCTAATAAAAAATTCAATTAGAAATCCCACAGGTTTCTGCAAATCTTCAGATTGATACAAACCAGAAAAGCTGGTGCTCTTGAGCAAAAACAGGAGAAAAATACCAATCTTACATGTGAGATTCTGAATGATGGCCCAACACCTCAAACCACAACCCCATGAATGCTCAGGTATCTACACAGTACATTTGAGTGCATGGCTTTCTCAAAACATACAAAGGAATATACTTCTAGCTCACTACAATGATTAAAAAAAAACAGCACATTATCACTCCAGAAAAGAAGCTGCAAAATTTTGGGAGGTCTTAGAAAGGATAGAATCATAGAATCCTAGAGTTGGAAGAGACTTTGTAGGCCATACAGTCCAACCCTCTGCCAAGAAGCAGGAAAATCGCATTCAAAGCACCCCTGAAAGATGGTCATCCAGTTTCTGTTTAAAAGCCCCCAAAGAAGAAAGGATGTACTTGAAGCTTCTAGTTTGTAACATCAGGATGGTCTACCATAAATGTAGGTCAGATGGGTTTATATAATGAAGTGTGTAAAGAAGCTTCTCAGCTTTGAAAAAAGTACCGTATAAATATAGCCTAAATCAGTTCTAATCAAAATAGTGGACCACAAACTGATTTGTGAGCTGCTTCCTCCCTCCCTCCCAAATAAGTTAGTTTGGGGTGAATGAACTCTGTGGTATTCACATGATGCATGGTATCCATTCACCTTAATGAGGGAGAAGGCTATTTGACATGTTTTAAGTTGTGAGATGCTCTGGTGTTTCCCAGTAGCTCTGGAACTCACCCACATTTTTTCTGCCATATTTTGGGCTGCTTCCTATTTCTATTGTGCTGTGGCTGTTCATATTCCCCTTTCCCTGCTCAAATCAGTTATGTCAGCTCATTGCTCTGGTTAGCATCACTACAGACGCAGAGTGATCGTTGTCAGTTGTGAGGAGGTCCATTATTAAACTGCTGCCACCAATTGTAAAGAAGACTGTATTAATGCCACCGAATGCCACCAAATGTGAAGGCGCGTGGTAAAACACCCACTGCCACCTAATCTATGAGGGAAGCTGGGCAACGATCAATATCAGCCTAGGAACTACTTTACAAAGGAACTGTTAATTACAGAAGGCTTTGTTTCAGTGATAGCGTAGCGTTTACTTTCTTGGCCTGACTTTACTATTCCAGGCTGTTCAGCTTATAAGGAACTGTATCAGGCAAGGCTTGAGGAAAAAGTAACAAGTTTATTTTAACAGGAGTATAACAATGTATAACTGTTCTTCAAAAGAGGTACAAATCTTGATGGATACATTGGAAAGGTTTCATGAGTAAACTCAGGCAAACACTTCATAAGGTTTCACAGCTGGCACAACAGGCTTAAACCCAGCCAAACCTTGATTCTTAATTCAGAATCAACAACCCCCTGTACCGGGTCCTTCTCTGCAACCACTTGGTCACCAATTGATTCCCTGAATCTCCACCAAGAGATTCAGTCTTTCCCTATAGCACACTGGCTACAGACACATTCCCTGAATCTCCACCAAAAGATTCAGTGTCCTCTCAGTAGCTCTCCGGCCACTGACTGACTTTTTAAAACACAGCTGCCTCTGAAGAGGCGGTTGGCTCCGCCCCTGTTGCTATGGCAACTCAGCTAATGCCAAGCCACTCCCACAAAACATAATCTCCCATACTTACCATCCCTAAACCACTGTCCAAACTACACATAACCAAAGGAATAAAATTTACACATCGTCACACCTCCCAACCCATAGGGATTATTTTTGACTTTTCTACCGACTAGAATGGTCAAAAATAATTTGGATAATATCAACATCATATAACTATGTACAAACCATATATTGATCAGTTATCCAATATCATCCATGTATGCAATATCAAAGTCTCACATCTCTAACATTCCTCCCATCTCCTTTGCAACATACTTGGCTAATTTCCCTGTGACTCTACTAACATACATTCTTAATATTTTTACATATAACAGTCTCACAATATCATTAAGTCCTTTAAACTTATGAGCAAGTTTGAACAATTTGAAGAGATTCAAGTCTCTATAGTCAATCACAGTTTGTTCACAATCAAAAGTCTCTTGGTTCTCCACGAAGTTACCACGCTGTTGTAGGAAGTTTTCTCTTTTCTTTGTTGCTGGAGTTTCTTCTTTCAATCTGACCTTCCAATTATCAGGAACAGTTCTGCTTTCATTGAGTTTTAAGGCTCGAATAAAGGCTTGCTTCAACGTAGCATCAGGTCTTATTGAAGAATTTATAGTTCTTTGAACATCTTTTCTTGGTATTGAAGAGAATCCGCCATCGTTGGAAGAACAAACAAGAACATTGTCTTTCTCTATTGTAGTCTCATCACTGCTGTCTGGATGAACCTTTAAACCTTGGAACTGGAGATTTGTCTTTTTATCAAGACTAACATAGTCAGTGTATATCACTTTTCTTAACAGTCCATCAGCTTGGTTTTTATCCTCTTCTTCCTCCGATATATGATTAGATCTTCTTTCTCTGCTTATTTTCTCTTCAGTTGTAGACATATCGAAATGCTCAGGGTTAGTAAGGAGGAGCTGATCTAATGTTTTATTCTCAGCAAACTGTCTCTCTTCTTTTCGATAAGTTTCACTTAGATTCTTAACTTCAATCACAGTTCTGATCTTCAAAACTTCTTTTGTGCCATCATCTGGAACCTCCATAGTGAATGAATCATGCCTGGAAGTTATCTTTACTTCAACTAATCTTTCAGATGTGTGAATTTTTTCTTCACAGAAGACTTTTTGATATTTTGTACTTCCAACCATGTCTACTGCCAAATAAATAGATTCCTTAAGGATTAGCTTTTCTTCAGCTTTTTCTTCTGACTGTATTTCATTGTCTTTGTCAATGAACTCGGCAGAGTCAATCTCCTTACTTGCAGCTGAAGGTAATACATCCTCCAAAGTCAACGATTCTTTCAGCTCTCCTTTCTCCCCAAAATCCATCACTTGTTCTGCAGGAACCACTATCTCTACATTCTCATCACTGGCTCCATCTGGGTGCTCATCATGTTTCTGAGGTACCACACTTTAGGTGTAAGAAACAGTTGGAAACTTGTGGTCTAAAACTTCCCTGTATAGAACTTCATTTTTGATTACAAATCGGTTTGGTTTCTCTGGGGTTAACTCTGTCTTTTCGGTTTGAGTTGTATCAAACAAGGTCTGGAGTGTGTCATCAGCCTTTTGTTCTTTAGAAATTTCTTTTTGTCCTTCAACTAACTCAGTTATAACAGAGCTTGCTTCGGGGTTTTTGTCCCAGAGGTTGACAGATGGGCAAACATGAAGTGTTTTGTACTCCAGACTGTTCCACAGTCAGGTCTTTTCCCTCTTTAGGTAACTCTGATATTTTTTTAATTCTTCTGGCCAGGTCATTTCCAATCAAGCATGAGTAAGGGATCTCTGAACTCATGGCAAAATCCCACAAGCCTGTCCAATTGCCATATTTTATAGGTAAAGAGACCACGTTTGAAGTAATCGCTGGTCCTAAACCTTTTAAATTAATCTGAGAAGTAGGATTTTGATACCTCTCAGGTACCATCTTTGTATGAATTACACAAACTTCGGAACCCATGTCTCTCCACCCTTGTAACAGGTTTCCATCTATTTTGATGGGTTCCAAATAGTCATTTGGGACTGTGTTTAGCATCACAAACAAACACTGTCTTTCAATCTGTTCCCCTTTTTGAACCACCTCAGTGCAATCTTTCTTAGCACTGGGTTCCATTTCTTCTTCAGGGGTATTTCTTTTCCTAATGAAGAAGGTGGACTTCTCTTTTCTCAGGAGATTATATTGGGACTTAAAATGTCCTAATTTTCCGCAATGGAAACAGCTCTTATTTCCCTCAGTACTGTTAGGCTGCATGGTGCCTGCCATCCTCCAGGTGGTGTTTTCTACTGAAAAGCCTCTCCCTGGCTGACTGTGAGGGGATTTTTTAAATGGCGGTTGGGATTGTCTTGTTTCCTTTTTGACTCCTTCTTCTTTAAATCCTTCCTTTAAATTAATCAACTGGTCCACCATGATAGCTGCTTGTGTTGAAGTTTCGGGGTTTCTATCCTGTATAATCCATCGATAATCAAGGGGGACCTGTTGATAAAACTGCTCCTTTTGAATTAAGTTTTTGAGCTGTTGGAAGTCATTTACCTCAGCGCCTTTGATCCAGCTCTCAAAGTATTGTGCCTGCTTGGAAGCTAATTGAGAATAACTCTCATATTTTTCTTTTTTGATCGTCCTGAACTTCATCCTATAAAATTCAGGCGTCAGCTGCAATTTCTGTTGGACTTCTCATTTGAACTTAGAATAATCTCTATGTTCTGTCTCTGCCATGTCACTGTAAATCTCCAGGAGTTTACCACAAATCTGT